TTCGCGACCTTGGAACGGTACCTCGCACAGGCCCCGCCGTCCTCGGGCGGCAACTCCAGCACTTTGACCTGGCCCCGCCCGGGAGGCGAGCCAGGGGGTTATTGTGGGTAGAAGCGAGTGGGCTGGTTTCCATTGATTGAAATCTCTCTCGAACGGCGCTGTGCTGCATTGTGTTTTACGTCGCCTGGGCACAGGGCCCCCTTCAAATTTATTTCCCAAGGAGGTGCCAAACAGAAAGCGCGCAGCGCTTTCTGTTTGGCACCTCCTTGGGAAAGGTGAGATTGGTCCCTGTTTCAGTGATGTTATCCTCTCTTCCCCCTTCCTCTACCAGTTTCTCCTCCTCTGATTCGCGTCCTTCGTCGGCCTTCAGCTGCCCGCCATCAAGGGCTGCATTTTTCACCCCGCCTCCACCCCGCGTCTTGCCTCTACAGAGCAGATGACCATGCGCCCTCGGATCGACGTTATCATCAAAAAGTCTCGTGGGGACAGCACGCTCGGGCTGAACTGAGCTTCGGGCTCTCGAACCCGTGGCGTCAACTCTCCTGTTCGAGCAACCCGCCCGAAATAGCACTAGGGAGACAAAAAGTGGCACAAGCATAAAAACTCGGAGGTCCGCGCGGATTTCTCGGATCGGCGCTGGGGCCCCCCGGCTGCGCCTCCGGCGCCGCCCCTGGCGCGCTCCGCGCGCCAGAAAGGGGGTCCAGCGCGGATCCGAGAAATCCGCGCGGACCTCCGAATTTTTATGTTTATGGCACTTTTGTTCCCCTGAGCACGACAATCCCCGACGGCCACTTGGATTGCCCGAGTTGCGCCGACTCCGAACCGCCCATCTATGGCACACGAGAGCCACGAGGGGAGACACGGCTCCTGGGCCACGAGCAACCGAGCGGACCATGAAGTCCCTGCCCGAATCGAACCAAATCTGAATCGCCCATGCCGGACGCGAGAGCCCCGGGGGGGCGGGCAACTAGGGGAACAAAAAGTTACATAAACATAAAAACTCGGAGGTCCGCGCGGATTTCTCGGATCCGCGCTGGACCCCCCTCCCTGGCGCGCGGAGCGCGCCAGGGGCGGCGCCGGAGGCGCCGCCGGGGGGGCCCCAGCGCCGATCCGAGAAATCCGCGCGGACCTCCGAGTTTTTATGTTTATGTAACTTTTTGTTCCCCTAGCCCATGCCGGACGCGAGAGCCCCGGGGGGGCGGACAACCAACTCGCGACGTTTCGGCCCGCGGGCCCCAGATCCGATTTGACAGCCCCCAGAAGCCGAGACTGAGTAAGAGCGCCAGGGAGCGGAGAGGAGCGCCACTCGAGCAAGTCTGTCGGCTGCTCGGCCCCATTCAGGGCATGGGTGAACAAGCGTGACCGGGCCCCAGTACACTCAAATAAGTACACACAAATAAAAGGATTCCCCATATTTTCTCATATTTTCTTGTTTTTTTTCTCCCCCCCCAATCCTTATATTTTCTTATATTTTCATGGGAATCGACGAGTAATTGTGTCTATGTGTTTCTTTCCTTCCTGAAAGCGCTCTATCAGTAAGGCAAATCAGCATTACATACGCACAAGATTTGAAACAAAAAGATCCGCCCGGCCGAGGAGCGCCGGGATCGAGCGCCCCGCCCCGCACGCTTGCGTAGGCGCTGCTGCTCCAGGGGTCTCCTCGGGGTCCCCCCAGGGTGCGGTGACTGACCGCGCGGTGATCTCTGGAATCCACGAAGACCTCACAGCACGGTCCGTTACAGCAGTCTTGGGACCTGAGGCCTCAGTCGCCCGCAAAACGTCCTCGGAGAATGGCCCGGGTTCCAACACGGCGCGGCCACCCCAAATCCCCACCGACACGCCACCACACGGTGTGGCCACCGCGCCCCTCGGGGCCCTCTGGCCTTCGGGGCGCTCTGGGAATCCCTGGCGCCGAGGATCGGATTCTCGTCGCGAGCTGTTCTGCTGCCGGTCCCGGGGTCCGCAGGGGCCCCTGGAGGCCGAAGGGCGTGACAAAAAGCTCTCCGTCGTGGCGTCTGCGCGGCGCGAGGACGTCGAGGTCTCTGGGCATCTCCGGAGATCCCCGGCGACACGTCGGTCGGAAGAAGCGGGCAGAGTTAGGTCGGGTATGTCCTCCCACGGGCGGATCTCGAGCGAGAAGTACAGAATATTGAAACATATTTTTCAAAGATAACTAATAAATCAGCGGAAGAAGTCCCCAGACTATTGTTGCTACTATTTTGGCAGATTCCTGCTGTAGAGGCCCGCCTAAGGGTAGAAGCATGGAGTAGGAAGGCGCTGACAACAGGATTCGGCCTCCACCCGCCCCGTGAGGACGAGGGCGAAGGGAACACCACTCGACCCTTGAGATAGGAGGGCGCCTAAACGAGATTGGGACTTTCGGGTCGGGCGAAAGGGGGGGATAGCAAAGGGGGGGGGGTAGAGAATGAGCTCGCGTAGCTGATTTTCCAGGCGTCTCCCTACGCCGGAGGCGGCTATGTATCGAAGAATGGGCCCCTCCGTGGGGCCGAAACCAGCTGCATACAGCAAATTTCGTAACCTCCCCTTTCCCAGTCCCCCCCTTTCGTCAGGCCCGAGACTTGGGCACCCAAAAATATCAATATCAGCGGCGAGCGAGGCGGGGGAGTGAGACGGGGCGGGCCTTCTCAGAAGGCTCAGAAGCCCCCCGGCCTTCTGAGAAGTTCGCTAAGCCTTCCCCGAAGACGCAGACAACTCCTCAGCAGGCGCGAGGGCCTCTGGGAAGTCCTGCCTCCTTCTGAGAAGGCCTTCTCCTTCTCATCTCCACCCCCCGGCGCGCCGCCGAACTTGAGTCTTGGGTCACAGCACGGGTCTCCGGCGGCCGTTCGGGACGATTCGGGCACCCCCGGAACGCTTTCGGCGAGACGCAGCTTCTGGCAAGCATCCCAAGACTGGGAAACCGCCGAGAACCGACGCCAACGCCCGAAAACCTCGCACCTGGACACCCTGAGGCTCGCCGCCGCAGGCTGGACCTCGGGCATCCGAGACGTACTGGGTGTGCCCGGAGGTCCCCGGAGTCCCCGCGGGAGCCGACATTCCTATAGGCCTACCACGACATGTTCATACAACCCCAAACTGTTCGAAGAACAAAACCATGTTCTCAGAACAGAAACCCGATGTGCTACAACAAGACGGCCCCAGCCAGAAAGGTTCTGAGAACATGCCGTGGAAACCACCAAAGGTTCTTAGAACACTCTTCGGTAGGCCTAGGGTCGGGCCGGGCGAAAGGGGGGGATAGCAATGGGGGGGGGTTGAGAATCAGCTCGCGTAGCTGATTTTCCCGGCGCCTCCCGGCGCCAGAGGCGCCCATGTATCGAGGAATGGGCCCTTCGGTGGGGCCGAAACCAGCTGCATGCAGCAGATTTCGTAACCCCCCCTTTCCCAATCCCCTCCTTTCGTCCGGCCCGACACTAGGCCTAGAAAAATAAAGAATACCACGAAAATGCTCGAGGGATGCCCAAAAATACCCCAAAAATCAGAGTTAGGGGGCCGAACGGTCATTCACTGTCCCTGGGTGCGTGGCTGAAGTGAGATTCCGCGGTGCGGATTCGTGTTGTTGTTGTTGTTGTTTGTTGTTGTTTGTTGTCGTCGTCCCACCCGCAACCCGCCCCGCGACCCACCCGCGACCCACCCCGCGACCCACCCGCGACCCACCCGCGACCCACCCGCGACCCCCACCCCGCGACCCACCCCGCGACCCACCCTGCGACCCACCCGCGCGACCCACCCGCGACCCACCCCACGACCCACCCCCACCCCGCGACCCACCCGCGACCCACCCGCGACCCACCCCGCGACCCGCCCGCGGCCCACCCCGCGACCCACCCGCGACCCGCCCGCGACCCACCCGCGACCCACCCGCGACCCACCCACCCCGCGACCCACCCGCGACCCACCTTCGACCCAAACCACGTTCAAGGTACAAACCAACATTTTCGGCGCCTGCGGCGGGCTTTTTTTGCATTCCTTCCAGGTGGAGAGCCCGCGACCCACCCCGCGATCAACTCGCGACCAACCCGCGACCCAAACCACGTTCAGGGTACAAACCACATTTTTCGGTGCCTGCGGCGGGCATCTTTTGCATTTGTTCTAGGTGGAAAGACCGCGGCCCACCCGCGACCACGTTCAGGATACAAACTACATTTTTCGGCGCCTGCGGCGGGCATCTTTTGCATTCGTTCCCGGTGGAGAACCCGCGGCCCACCCGCGACCCAAACCACGTTCAGTGT